CCGCCCCGCGTGCGGGGAAAGTGAGGCAGGCGGGCCCTAGGCCAACTTTCAAACATTTAACTGGTTAACCATTTGGGGGCGCCAGGGAGAGGCAAGCGAAGGGTTAACAGCCCCGGGGGGTTAAGTAGGCCCTGGCCCAGCGCCCCTCAGCACTGGGGGAGGGGGACTGTCCTGTGCTGAGCCCCTCCAGCCAGTAGCTTGAGCAAACAGCAGCCCCGAGCCAGCCCTTCGCTAGGCCAGGAGCCTGTGGGGGGGAGTGTGGGGATCTCAGCCCAGCTGGGCAGGGAAACAGGCTTCTGCTCTCCTGGGACAGAGCAGCCACCCCCTACAGGGCCACACCCCATGGGCCCTGCTTCAGGACTGGGGCTCTTCCATGACCTATTAGATAGATTACGGTAGCACCTAGGCTCTACCGCAGTACACCTAATACTCCACAGCAACCTGCTCTAAGACTTGAAACCTTACCGTAATACACTTAACACACACAGCTCCAGCAAAATGGCTCATCCAAGACAGGAACGCCTAAGCACTACCGTAATACTCCTAATAGTCCAAGATGGGCTCCAGGCCCTAGGACTGGGGTGGGCAAAAAATTATTGCCAGGGGCCACTTCAGAAATGTTTGAAGTGCACCCAGTGGGGGGCCAGGAGACTTCGCTGCTTCCCCACCCACAGCCGATGATTGGTCTGGGGAGCGTGTGAAGTCTCCTTGCAGCCTGCCAGGAGCGCCTGACGCTTTTAAGTATCTCACGCTCCTCGCAGGGCGGGGGCAGGGTGGCAGAAACTTCATGTGCTTGCCCCTAACCCCAATCCCTGATTGGCCTGGGGGCAGGATCAACCCACCTGGCCCGCGGAGGCCCTTGTACCCATAAGCCGAGTGCAGGAGAGATTCAGGGGCCGCCCACCTGATTAGCACAGCACCCGCAACCTAGGTTTCTATGGGTGGTACACCTCTACACATGCCTCAGTGCACAGAACAAAACTTATTCCACACATGGATGGAAAACAGTGGGAAGCCATGGAGCCCTGCTCCTCACCCCCAGGGGCCAGAGCAGCCAAGAGATTTGTGGGCTTCAAGAGACAGATCAGCAGATTCTAGTGTCTTTATTGGTAGTGTAAAGATTCAGTCCAGGGGCCCAGGGCCCCGTGCACCATTGCAGGCTGCCCGAGAGTAGAAAAATAACAGAGCCACCAAGTCCCTCCTCCCCACCTGTCAGTTTTACAAAATACACAGTCTGCATCTTTAAAACCCCAGCAGCATCCAACTAAAATTATACCCTAAAACAAAATTAAAAAGGGGGGGAGGGGAGGGCTCAGCCCAAGTCTGGCCCCAAACCCACAGCCACGCAGAGCAGAGGTACCACAAGAGGCCACGTTAAAGCCAAAAGACGAGGCGAGTCCCAGCCCCGGCGCTGGCCAGCAGGGCTTTGCCGCAGGCCGCAGCGAGCGACGCCGGGACTTGCCTTTCTCCCCAGGGCCAGGCCACGAGGGGCTGGCAGCTTTGGTGTCCCAGCCCAGGCGCCCGGCTGGCGGGTGCTGGAGGTGGGCAGGGATCCCGGCTCTCCCTGGAGATGGGCGGCATCTGATGGCCCAGGAGATGCCACAGCAGCTGGGCCTGCACTAGCCGAACGAGGAGGGGGCAGATCCCAGCCCCCCCGGCCACAGGCTGGGCGGCACGAAGCAGCAGGACAGGCCCAGTGCCAGGGGCAGGCCTGACCCTGCACCCCCCCCCCGCTGGGACTCAGCACTTGGCGCACACTCAGCTGTCTCGCCCTGACCCAGCGCCCCCGCCAGGTGGCCACGGAGGCTGAGCCCCAGGTGCCGGGGCAGGGCTGCACTAAGCAGCGTGGCCAAGAAGGGGTTAAAATGGGGGGGGGGGGTTTCCCGGGGGAGG